CTGGGACCACAGGCGCCCGCCACAACGCCCGGCTATTTTTTGGTTGCAGCCGTCATTGTTGTTTTGGCGGGTCCGGGCTGGGGATTCCAACCCGCCACCTTAGGTGTACGTGGCTGGCGCCTTAGCCGGTTGAGCTATAGGCGCCGAGCCTTTAGCTCTTTCTTGAGCTACTGTTTCATTTTATTAAATACAGTTTAAAACCCACCCTGATACATGATTTGATCTGAAATCATAGGAAGTTTAAGTTTTTGGAATTTCTCACTTTACAATGTTATTGGGTCCAGCATTTTACTTTCTATTTTTATTTATTTTTGAGACAAAGTCTTACATCACCCTGGGTACAGTGCTGTGGCGTCACAGCTCACAGCAACCTCAAACCCTTACCCTTAAGCGATTCTCTTGCCTCAGCCTCCCAAGTAGCTGGGACTACAGGCACCCACCACAATGCGTGGCTATTTTTTGGTAGTAGTTGTCATCGTTGTTTGGCAGGCCCAGGCTGGATTTGAACCCACCAGCTCTGATGTATGTGGCTAATGCCCTAGCCGCTGAGCTACAGGCACTGCGCCCATTTTACTTTCTAAAGCCTTATAATACAAAGTCTACATTCTTCCAAGTCTCAAATCTGGAAGGTATATACAACAGTTTTAGGGAAAAATCTTTTTTTTTTTGAGAAGAATCTCATTATGTTGCCTTCGGTAGAGTGCCATAGCATCATAGCTCATAGCAACCGCAAACACTTGGGTTTAAGTGGGTCTCTTTCCTCAGCCTCCCAAGTAGCTGGGACTATAGGCGCCTGTGAGAAAGAAAGATCTTAACAACACTAAGATCTTCCACTGGCTTTCTATTGCCACTTCCCTTCTCAGGCCAATCCAGTGTCATATGCAGTAGACAGTGAATAATAGGGTAATAGAAAAGTTACAGGCTCCAGAATCAGCCTCACCTGGATGTTTGTTAATGTCTCAGTAAGTATTAACCTAAGCAGGGACCTTAATCAGTTTATTTACTTCCGTTTCCACAGTAGAAAACAGGAATGACAAATGCTCAGCAGGAACTAAGCGGTGGCCACCCAGGATAGGAATAGACACAGCATCTCTCAGCCCAGCTCCCTCAACCCACAATAGGATTGACAGCTGCCAAACATACCATTTGCTCAGAGGTTGGTCCTGTGACATCTGAAAAGTGAAGTCCTTGCCACACCCTAGTTCGTTTATTTTTAGGCCTTACATCACTTTTTCAGGAGGATATTAAGCAAAATGTCCATGTGTTTCATGATCCCATGTAAGAGGATATTTTAGCTGTGTGGCTCTAGCCATGTCCTCAGCTGAATGAGGAGGCAGTCAGTGGATAGCCATCTGTCTTCTCACCCACCTCCTGCAACTCACAGCCAGAAAATCATTTTCCTAATATTTCAGAGTTTAAGAAACAGAAGCAATTGTAGAATGAGTAGACTTTGAATTAAGAGACTGGGTTTGGGTTCTGCCTCTGTGTGCCTCCATCATTTGCGTATGCTGCAATTGCAAAATTTAAGTTTGCTCACCTGTAAATACAGGAGTAAGGCCATCTCTTATGGTTCAGCACCTGTAGCCCAGTGGTTAGGGTACTGGCCACATACACCAGGGCCAGTGTGTTCAAACCTGACCTGGGCTTGCTAAACAATAATGACAACAACAACATAAAAATAACTGGGCACTGTGGCAGGCGCCTGTAGTCCCAGCTACTTGGGAGGCTGAGGCAAGAGAATCGCTTAAGCCCAAGAATTTGAGGTTGCTATGATGCCATGGCACTCTACCGAGGGTGACAAAATGAGACTTTGTCTCAAAAAAAAAAAAAAAAAAAAAAAAAACAGTGCCTGATATATCATAAATGCAAAAAAGTTTTTTTTTGTTTTTTTTTTTTGAGACAGAGTCTTAAGCTGTTGCCCTGGGTAGAGTGCCATGGTGTCACAGCTCACAGTAACCTCAAACTCTTGGGCTTAAGCAATTCTCTTGCCTCAGCCTCCCAAGTAGCTGGAACTATAGGTGCCTGCCACAACACCCAGCTATTGTTTGTTATTGTTGCAGTTGTTTAGCTGGCTGGGCCAGGTTTGAACCTGCCACCCTTGCTGTATGTGGCTGGTGCCGTAACCACTATGGTACAGGGACTGAGGCTAAACACAAAAGTTTTAAAAAGCCTATAGATATATAGCACTTTGTAAACCTTTTCGTTTATTTATTTAATTTCTATTATTTTTTGAGATAGAGTCTCACTCTTGTGCCCCAAGTTCCATGGAGTCATAGGTCACAGCAACCTCAAGCTCTTGAGCTCAAGTGATCTTCTTGCCTCTGTTTTCTATTTTTAGTAGAGATAGGGGTCTCACTCTTTTGCTCAGGCTGGTCTCAAACTCCTGAGCTCAAGCAATCCACCCACGTTGGCCTCCCAGAGTGTCAGGATTACAGGCATGAGCCACTGTACCCAGTCTCCTTTTAGTTTAATAAATAAATGTTCATCTATGAATTTAGGCCTCATAATCATCCTGTGCGACAGAGAGCACAGGTGTTGATTCTTATATCGTCCTGCACAGAGGTCCCCAATTCACCAACAAAAAAATAGGATGACAAAAGTCAAATAGAACCTGCTTAAGGGGCCAGGGTGATGCCAGACCCAGAATGTAGGTTATTGTTTCCTACTTCACTGCTAGTTTCACCACCCTCCCTCCCTGGTCTAATGAATAGAAATTAAAAATTATTATTTTTTGAGATAGAGTCTCACTATCTCTCCCTCGTAGAGTGCTGTGGCATCCCAGCTCACAGCAACCTCAAACTCTTAGGCTTAAGCAATTCTCTTGCCTCAGCCTCCCAAATAGGTGGGATTACAAGTGTCTGCCACAATATCCGGCTATTTTTTTTGTTGTACTTGTCGTCGTTTGGCAGGCCTGTGCTGGGTTCGAATCCACTAGCCCTAGTGTCTGTGGCTGGCGCCCTAGCTGCTGAGCTACAGGCACCAAGTCTTTTTCTTTTTCTTTTTGAGACAGAGTCTCTCTCTGTCACCCTCGGTAGAGTGCCGTGGAGTCACAGCTCATGCAACCTCAAAATCTTGGGCTTAAGTGATTCTCTTGCCTCAGCCTCCCATGTAACTAGGACTACAGGTGCCCACCACAATGCCCAGCTAAGAAATTAGAATTCCTATTTTTTTTTTCTTTTTTCTTTTTCTTTTTCTTTTTAGAGATAGTCTCACTTTGTCGCCTTTGGTAGAGTGCCGTGGCGTCTTAGTTTACAGCAACCTCCAGCTCTTGGGCTTAGGTGATTCTCTTGCCTCAGCCTCCTGAGTATCTAGGACTACAGTGGCTTGCCACAACGCCTGGCTACTTTTTTGTTGTTTCAGTTTGGTCGGGGCCAGGTTCAAACCTGCCACTCTCAGGATATGGGGCCAGTGCCCTACTCACTGAGCCACAGGCACTGCCCTATTCCTATTTTTTTTCATGAAGAAACAACAATTATCAGAATTTAACTTGTAAACTATAATTTTGTTACCTTAGAAATAACAATTCCAAAGGTATCATTCCAATTAATTCTATGATTACTTATAAAATCTGTTTATTGACTTTTCTTCTTTAAAAAATGTGGCTGTAATCGCTCTAAAGAGCGTCCCTTTTTCCCTCTGTCTTTCAAGTCAGGTAAGACAGGAATTCCTCTGTAACTATTAAAAGTGAAAAGCTGGAGTGGCACCTGTGGCTCAGTGAGTAGGGCACTGGCCCCATATACCGAGGGTGGCAGGTTCGAACCTGGCCCTGGCCAAACTGCAACAAAAAAATAGCCGGGCCTTATGGTGGGTGCCTGTAGTCCCAGCTACTCAGCAGGGTGAGGTAAGAGAATGCCTAAGCCCAAGAGCTGGAGGTTGTCGTGAGCTGTGACGCCACAGCACTCTACTGAGGGCAACAAAGTGAGACTATGTCTAAAAAAAAAAAAGTGAAAGCTGGATCCATTTTTCTTTTTTTTTTTTTTT